CCCCAAAACCCCAAAACCCCAAAACCCCAAAACCCCTTTAATGTAAATTTTAGTTGAAAATTAGCTTACACAATACTCTGATACCAAATTTTAACTTATTCCTTATTTTCTTCGTCCTTTGGAGTCTCAACTGTCTCGGGAGTTTTCTCTGCACTATCTCCCTTTTCTTCTGCTTTAGTTCGTGCTTTTTCTTTTTCCTTCATGTCACTGTAAAACTTGGTAATTTTACTAATTCAAGTGATAACTTCATCAAAGTTTCAGTAAGCAGATCCTTTATTTGGAGTCTTTGTCGCTATCCCCTCTGATCATTCTCTTTAATTTTTCAGGTGTAATTTTATCCATTGGACAACCTAACTGTCTGGAAGCAATTATAACACATGCAAAAGCGATTTCCTTTGGCCCAAAAGTCAGGGGAAGAACAGTGAATCAGGCATCATTGACAATCCAGGTTGCCAAATAGAAGATATTATTTATATTTTCTTTCTTAAACAGCTTATAAACATAATCAGAAATATATTTGTATGGAAGGTCAACACCTACCATTCCTCCGTCTTTCCCAAACATTGTCTTAACAATCTGGAGCTCAGCGTTTGTAATCTTTTCAATAATTTCCTCTTTCATCTCATCCGAAAGAGGTTTGATGATTTCATCTCCGTTTGTGAGCTTGTTATTAATATTATGGTAACCAAAGGCATAGTACTCAATTCTCCGATGCTGTCCGTTCATCTTAGTACTTAAGTAAAGAGCAGCAGTGCACATCAGTACTCTATCATACTCATAATAGGATCGATTTACGAAAAAGTAGTTAATAAGAACCATGGCTCCTGACACTATCAGCTTTGAAACATGGTCATTAAATCCAGTAGCTATCTGTATGATAACATATCAATTCTGTGTTCTATCCAGTCATTAACACACAACTTACCTTAACTCCTGCTGAGTTTCAAGAGCTATTCCTTGAAAAGTATTAATATTCTCTTTAATTTCAAACTCACTAAGGATCCGCATATTTGTTAATAAATATTCAATTTCGCTTAAATCTCAAGGGGTTTTGGGGTTTTGGGGTTTTGGGGTTTTGGGGTTT